TTTTGGTGTGTGAGCTTAAATAACACTAAACACTATCTGCTATAATACTATTAACATAAATGTTCAGTTTCTATCTTTAATTCAAACATTAGCACTATCTGCCAAACAATTAACTTTTGAGGATACTGAAAACAATCTCCAGAGAAACATGGCCATACCAACAACATTAAGCACTAACGACTATTACCATAGTAATTTTAACTCTTTTCATCTTTGTGTCACTAACTGGGGGCTAAACCTCCAGAACTAGAGGATCCATTTTCATAAACAGAGGGTCTGTAATAAGTATGCAGAGATAGGAACCTTGCCTGTCTTTCATCTTTTCAATGAAACAGTAACAAGACTAGTATCTTTTAAAAATACTTGATCACAGACTCCCTGGCAGTATCTGACTGCCAGTGCAGGGTACATGGGTTCCATCCGTGGTCCGGGAAGATCCCACGGGCATGGAGCAACTAAGCCGGTGTGCCACAACCGCTGAGCCCTTGCGACCAGAGCGCGCGCTCGGCCACAAGAGAGCCACCTCAATGAGAAGCCCACGCACCACAACTAGGGCGGCCCCTGCTCACTGCGACTACAGGAAGCCTGTGCAGCAGCGAAAACCCAGCACAGCCAAAAAAAACAAAAACCTAATCATTAAGTACGTAATTTAAAAACACATTTTTTTTTGGTGCTATTGCTAACATACCACTTATACCTTGTGTTCCTAATATAAAGGGCCCATTTTATTTTTTTATTTTTTTCATTTATTTTTATTAGTTGGAGGCTAATTACTTTACATCATTGCAGTGGTTTTTGTCATACATTGAAATGAATTAGCCATGGATTTACATGTATTCCCCATCCTGGTCCCCCCTCCCACCTCCCTCTCCACCCAATCCCTCTGGGTCTTCCCAGTGCACCAGGCCCGAGCACTTGTCTCATGCACCCAACCTGGGCTGGTGATCTGTTTCACCCTAGATAATATACGTGTTTCTATGCTGTTCTCTTGAAACATCCAACCCTCGCCTTCTCCCAGAGTCCACAAGTCTGTTCTATACATCGGAGTCTCTTTTTCTGTTTTGCACATAGGGTTATCGTTACCATCTTTCTAAATTCCATATATATGTGTTAGTATACTGTAATGGTCTTTATCTTTCTGGCTTACTTCGCTCTGTATAATGGGCTCCAGTTTCATCCATCTCATTAGAACTGATTCAAATGAATTCTTTTTAATGGCTGAGTAATATTCCATGGTGTATATGTACCACAGCTTCCTCATCCATTCGTCTGCTGATGGGCATCTAGGTTGCTTCCATGTCCTGGCTATTATAAACAGTGCTGCGATGAACATTGGGGTGCACGTGTCTCTTTCAGATCTGGTTTCCTCGGTGTGTATGCCCAGAAGTGGGATTGCTGGGTCATATGGCAGTTCTATTTCCAGCTTTTTAAGAAATCTCCACACTGTTTTCCATAGTGGCTGTACTAATTTGCATTCCCACCAACAGTGTAAGAGGGTTCCCTTTTCTCCACACCCTCTCCAGCATTTATTGCTTGTAGACTTTTGGATAGCAGCCATCCTGACTGGTGTGTAATGGTACCTCATTGTGGTTTTGATTTGCATTTCTCTGATAATGAGTGATGTTGAGCATCTTTTCATGTGTTTGTTAGCCATCTGTATGTCTTCCTTGGAGAAATGTCTGTTCAGTTCTTTGGCCCATTTTTTGATTGGGTCATTTATTTTTCTGGAGTTGAGCTGGAGGAGTTGCTTGTATATTTTTGAGATTAATCCTTTGTCTGTTGCTTCATTTGCTATTATTTTCTCCCAATCTGAGGGCTGTCTTTTCACCTTGCTTATAGTTTAAAGGGCCCATTTTAATACCAGTTTTTTTCAGCTTGCTATACATGCAGTACCTCATTTCATTAACACCTGACCTGCAGCAATCACACAAATTTCCTAGAACATCGTTAGTGAGTAGTTTTCACTACTGCAAACTGGGCTAGTTGTTGAATTTTATGCCAGTGGTTGGCAATTCACTGCAGCTGTGACGAACATGAACTTCACCCACGAGTCTCCTAAAAGCAAGGCCAACATTTTGAACATGAACTTCACCCACAAGTCTCCTAAAAGCAAGGCCAACATTTAAGTTGTAATCCTATGTAACATGTACTCTGAAAACATCCAAATCATGTAGGAAAACTCTAGAAATGTTTCTTTTAAAAATAAAAATATACTTGTTAAATCTCCATTTTTCTAAAATGACCTACTTAGTACACTCTAGTAGTGTTTGTGGACTTGTCACTTTTACTGACATCGTAACCACCTTATGCCACTAAACAAACAGTTGCTGAGCCTGGGTCAGCTTTAAAGCATACGACTAGAATTAAAATTCGCACTGAAATACAAGTTCTACCAGTAAATGTCATTAGTTTTTAAAATTTCAACAAGAAACTGCAGCATATTACGAATTGGATACAAATCCTGAAAGAGCCAGGAACACTATTCTGGGCTAGTATGCTCTTACTCTAAGAGAAAATTAAAAGAAAATTAGTTCTACTGCATCCATTGATAGTACGGATGACATTTTAGACAGTAGAGAAATAGAATTATTCCTGGGCAATTAAAAAGTTACAAGGATAGGCCTAAAAGGTTACTTCCGGGCAAAAGGCGGCTGCCACGAAACCCGCCTCCGCCTGTCCCAGAGCAAACCCTTCCCAAGGCTCTTGGCCGACCCGGTCCCCACCTCGCCCAGCCAACGCCAAAGAGAACCCCCCGCCCCCGCAAGGCGGCGCAGCGCACCTCCGGGGGCGGGGCCAGCGCCGGTCACGTGGGCGGCGCGCGGCCGCCATCTTGCAGGGCGGAGGAGGGGCGGGGCCCCGCGGACACCCCCCTCCCCTCCCCGCCGTCCGCCGGTCCTCGGCGGCGCGTGCCCGCGCGGCTCTCGGTCGCGAGCCCCGGCTCCTCCCTGCGGACTCCGGGGTGGGCCCTCCCTCCTCAGGCAACGGCGGCCAAGACCGCGAGCGGAAGGGCTGAAGTGCAGGGACCCCCGCGAGCCGCCTCTCGGGGCGGCCTAGCATCAGAAGACCCGCGGGCACGTCCTCAGGGCCAGAAGCGGCCACGGCTGAGGGGCTCGGAGTCCCGCTGACAAGCGAAGTACGGGGCAGCAACAGCCAAGTAAGACGGGGTGATCTGTCACAGCAACCCTCAACCACGGGAGAGGAAACGCTCGCCAGGCCACCGACGTCCACAAATGGCGTTCAGTGTCACTTTGAAGGCGTGTGCCCTGTGATCTACCCCGCTCCCGCGGACGGCCACGACACAGGCACCGTCTGAGAAGTAACGATGCGCTCCAATTCGCGGCAGCATGCCCAGCCTCACTGTCCACTCTTCCCGGCACTCACTGAAAGGCCACACGCCGCGGTCGACATAAAAATTTCACTGCTGTGCTCTGAACGCATCTCTGCCCTTGTCTCGTCCCCTTACAACACTCGCATTATAAGCAAAATTTAAAGGGAGAAAAAACACTGCCGTTAAAACCAGAAGTCGGTTACCCTTGTTGGAATAAGAATGCAATAATATAAACTGCTTCACTATGAGACATTTTCCTTATATCTACACGCTAAAGTTATCTTTACAATATATACAGGAATTTTGGGGATAAGATATGTTAAGTACTGCTTCAAAGTTCAGGCTTGCTTCTTTAAACTTAATGATGGGCACATAGGATATTTTTTGGAATTAGTAGGCTGAAGAGTGCAGTATACACAGTTGCATGAGACACTGGAATATTTCATGCTCGCCAAAATTCTGGATACTAGCATTTCTACGTCCCAGTTTGATAAAGTATGTCCTAAAGTGGGTTAGTCACTTCACTGACGCCTCCTTTTTAAAAGGAGGGGCTCAGCCTAGATTATCACTAAATCCTTTCCAGCTCCCCAGGTTCCTTTGATTCTATGGGTATTGAGTTCACACCGCCATTGGCGAGATATAATGCCCAGTTTTAGTCTGAATGACAGCAGATATTTAAGCTGAAAGAACTTTCAAGTAAGGAGTGAAAAAAATCTCGCTTTCCAATATATCATCTTGGAGATCTCTTAAAGCTGAAAAACATGGCATCCAAATGAATACTTTTTAAATAATCGTGAAGCACGAAAATAAACTTACTGTAGTCTTTAAATAAAAGCTACTTGCTCCACTAAATTGTCACACTCAATGGCTTTATATTGGGCCCAGATTATTAAATTGCTTTCGTGGCTTTATAAAATTTTCTTTCATGTTTGTGACAAGGGACTTGCCTTTAGTCTCATCTACTACATTTTGGCGTTCAGTAACTTTTAAGAAACCATTTATGCCTTCAGTAAAGGGCCCACAAACATCGCCGGACCCAAATGTGTAGACACGACTCAAACCCGTTAGAAGCCGCACTGGCCGGGGGCAAAGGGCACCAGAACCGCCCGAGGGGACGTTTCCCCACCCAGACAACCTGCCCGACGACCTAACTGATTTGAGTCATTTCGCACCTCTGACTTTTTTTCTGAGAACATGTTCTCTGAGCAGGAGCCAAAAGAACCAACGACCCGCTTTACCTCAGGCCACCGCGGAGCGCGCCGGGAGCGCGTCTGGGGCCGCCTCCCCCGGGGGGCGAGCTGGGCCTCGGGACGCACGGGCGGAGCGCCAGGCGGCGGCCGGCCCGGGCTCCGCAGCCCCGACGGAGGTGTCGGGGCCGAAAGGTCCCGAGAGCCCGCCTCGAGGACCGGGCTGAGCGCCGGGCTTCCGGGGCAACCCCAGCGGGACGAGACTTCCAGAGCTTTCTGTTATGGCGGGTGCTAGTATGTGTGTGTGTGTGTGTGTGTGTGTGTCTGAGGGGAGTGGGGCTGAGCGGCCCGGCCGAACGCACATCAGTCCCGGGACCGGGACCGGGGTCGGGGTCGGGGTCGGGGTCGGCCCGGCCGGGGGTCGTCGGGGAGCGGAGGCCGCGGGGACGGCTGCGCGCGCGCGCGGAGAGGCCGGCGCGCCTTACCTGGGCCCGGGCGCCGGCCAAGTGGCCCGGCACCGCCTCTACGTCCTCGGGGCCCCCGCGGAGCGCGGCGCGGAGCCTCTCCAGGTGCTCCCTCAGGGTGACGCGCTGGTGGAAGGAGAAGGCCGGGTGCAGCGAGGCCATGGTGAAGAGCAGCAGCAGTTCCTCCTGGGCCCTGATTCCCAGCCCGCCGCCCGGCCGGGGCGCCGCGCCGCCGCCTTCCGGGCCGGAGCCGTCCTTCTCGGCGTCGTCCTCCTCGCCGCCGCCGTCCTCCTCGCCGCGCTCGTCCTCCGCGCCGCCCCGCGAGCCCTCGCCCCGGGCCGCGCGCAGGCTCCGAAGCACCGCGTCCACCTGGGGCAGGAGGCGGTGCAGGCGGCCGGCGGCCTCGCGGTTCTCCGAGCCCAGCAGCGCCAGGTAGACGATGAGGCGCGAGCGCACGGCGGGCTCTCGGAAGTCGGCCAGCGGGCCCGGGTCCGAGAGGCCGTTGGCCTTGGCCTCCGAGTCGCGCAGGTAGTGGTAGTCCTTGCGCGCCAGGTCCTCCAGGCACGAGCCGAGGAAGCGCAGCTCCAGCGGGTTGCACAGGTCCAGCAGCCCGCACATGAACTCCAGGCGCTGCGCCGAGCCCAGCACCATCCCGAACCACTCGTACACCCGCTCCTGCTCGCGCAGAGCCGCCGCCGCGGGCCCCGCGCCGCCGCCCGGCATGCCCGCCCCCGCCGCTGCCCCGCCAGCAACAGGCGGCCCGAGCCCCCGGGACGGCGGCGGCGGCGGCGGCGGGGGTCCCCGCGGCGCGCCCGAAGGCGGCGGCAGCGGCGGCGGGGGGCGGCAGTCGCGGCGGCGGCGCGGAGGCGCCTTCGCGCCCGGCCGCGCGTCTGCCTCAGGCTCCTCAGCCTCGGGCGGCGGCTCCGCGGAGTGCGTCGGCTTCAGCGGCAGCTTCATCCTCAGCATCCTCGGCTACGGCGGCGCGGACATGCGAGCGGGGGCGGGAGGGCGGGGCCGGGGGCGGGGCGGGGGCCGCAGCGGCGGCGGGCGGCCGTCAGGAGCAGGGCCCCTCCATCCCGCCGGGGCCGGGTCGGGCCGGGGGCGGGTCTCGGCCGGCGCGGGGGGCCGCGGGCGGTGTCTTCCCGGGCCGGGGGCGGGGCGTGCCCGCGGCGGCTCCTCCCCCCCGGGCTCTGCGCCGCCTCTGGGAGCCCGGGCGCGGTCGGGAGCGAGCTAGCGAGCGTGTCCTCCGTCCGCCTCGCTCTCTCTGGTCGTCCGCGCTGGGCCGGGCCGGCGGCGCCTGAGCGGTCCCCTCGCGAGCCGGTGCTGACCGGGCGGCGGCGACCAGAGGAGGAGCGGTCGGGCGGGCGGAGACGCTTGCGGGCTCCGCGCAGGCGCCTTAGCCAATCAGCAGCCCAAACGGCTGGTTGCGTGAGTCTCCCCGCCCCCGGGGCACGCCCCCTCCGGGAGGCCACGCCCAACCGCCCTGCGGCCGCCTTCCCTGCCGGCGGCTCCTGCGCGGTCCCGGCCTCTGGCGGTGACTCGGCCTCGGGGCTGGCGGTGGAACGACCGCGCGGGTCGGCCAGGCATGCGAGAGGCGCGTGCGGCCCACGACGCAGGGGCCGTCGGGGGTCGCACCTTCTTCGGGCTCCGGCGCGGCTTCTGACTCCCGACCCCGCGCCACCGCCCCGGGCGGGCCGCCGCCTCGGGCGCCGCCGGGCTCCCGTCGCGGCCGCTCGGGACGCGTCCCGGAGCCGAGCTCCCTCCGGAGGGGGCGCGCCGGCCCGACCTCCGCGGGTTTCGGAGGTCAGCGCGCGGGCCTTGCCGCGGCGGCTCCGCCGCCCCGTATCCGGTCTGCGCCGCGGGCGGGCGCCTGAGTCCCGGGCGAGTGCCCGGACGCAGGGCCCTCCCTACCCGGGCAGCCCCACGGCCCCGGGCCCAACGGTCTGTAACGGTCCTCGGGAATTATTGCCGTGACAGTTACCAAAGCCCCGCGGAGCCACCATCTTCGGGGGCCTCTCCTATTAGCTACATGACGTTTCTGTGCCTGACGCTAGCATTTTGAATTCCTGTGTCCCTGAGAATTCTCTGTGACTTGAGGAACTGACTTTTTTTTTAAAGTTTTTGTTACGTTTTTAAGGTTGGAACACCTCTCTCGCTTTGTTTGTTGATTAAAAAAAAAAAGTATAATTTTAACACCCAGCTGGATATTTTGAGGGTTAATTTTTAAAAGGTGGGACTAAAAAAAAAAAACCCTTCAGGTTTTAAATTAGGAAGTCCTACTACAGCTGTGTAGTGGCAGGATGTAAAAAAAGAAAAGAATCACTTTTCCCTAAACTCTTCCTGAAAATATTTGAACATCTGTTGGTAGAGCATATGCTGAGCCCTCTTTACAATTTTATGCCCTAAGAAGCTAATTTATAATTCAATAAAAGGTTGAACTGAAGCCTGAATCAGCTTCAGTGATAAAATGGGGAGACAGTTGTTTTCAACACACTTGAGATTATGTCAAATATATAAAAAACCATTCTTTTTGAACTTTGCTATTTCCTTGTGTTCTTTAGGTGTGGTCTAAAATCATGATCAGGAGCAAACTTTGCAGAAACATTTACAATCCTTGCCCCTTTGCTGTCAACTTCAGATGTCATGGAAATTTCTGTCTTATTATTTGTGAAGCTTAGGGTGACATACTTTAGGCAACCAATAGTAACCTTGCTAGATATTCACAGGTCCATAGTGAGTCACCTGTCTAGATCCTTGGAGATGATTTTTACATGTGATCCAGGCATATGGTCTTTATATTTTCCTTGGCAACAAGAAGCCATTTGGTATGAACTCTCAATACTTGATCCACAAATTTGGGTCTGAGTTCAGATTTATTTATTTATTTATTGGGGTGGGGGGCGCCCACCGCCGCCGCCATGCTGCCTGGCCAGTGCGCGCACAGCCGCCGGGGGCGGGGCTGAGTTCAGATTTATGATCAGTAATGATTACTTTTGTTCTGTCTTTGGTCCACGTTAGAAATGCAGTGACACGCACTGTGATTTAATGATGCTGGTTATCACCCATTGGCTGCACAGTTCGATACTTAGGGCCCCGTACATTGTTTCAGAGTGCTCTCTCTGCACACTGCCGCTCCTTAGACCAGGCCTCAGCGTTTTTTCCCACCCTGTAGTGAGAATACATCTTCAGTCAAGAGTGAGGTACTAGGGACTTCCCTGGGGGTCCAGTGGTTAAGAATCCACCTGTCAATGCAGGGGACACAGATTCAACCCCTGGTCTGGGAAGACCCCACATATGAGGCGCAGCCACTAGGCTGTCCAGCCGAAACTACCGAGCCCATGCACTTGGCCAGTGCTCCCTAGTGAGAGAAGCACCCTCCCCCGCAACGAGAAGCCCACCTATGGCAACTACAGAGTAACCCCTGCGGGTGCAACTAGAGCAACAAAGACCCAGCACAGCCAAAAATAAAGTTTTAAAAATAATGAAGTAGTTTATCAAAAAAAATAGTGATGTATTACAACAGGGAGGAGCCCAGATGGAAATCCCAGGATGAGGTGTAGGTGTATTTATTGGAAAAAAAAAAACTATCCAGATAATTCTAATATGACATACTGGGAAGGTATTCCTCCCACCAAGGCCTGCCTATTGGGAACGCTTGCTCTAGATTCTCTAGTGTTTTATATATAATTATATACATATTTAAATATATAATCATTTAGATGGGCCAAATAATATCACTGTGGTAATAGTGGTTATGTGTATGTATCCAGATCTTTCAGAGGAATATATCCTGTAAAAGACATCTTTTAAGGACACAAGTGCTATTGTGTCTTGTCCCTAGATGATATTTAATGAATATTCAATATACTTTGTTTGTCCTGTGGCAGTCCAGTGGTTAAGACACTGAGCGTCTACTGCAACAGGCATGGGTTCAATCCCTGTTTGGGGAACTAGGATCCCACATGCCACTGCTCAGCCAAAAAGAAAAAAGAAAAAAAAAATGATTTATTTGCCTCATTAACAATGAAAGATGATGTTACTGACATTATTGTCCAAATATTTATATGTACCCAGAAAACTGGTTTCTAGTTAAGGTTATACTTTGGATTAAGACACCAGCCAGTGGTTGAAAATTGAGGAAACTTTGCAATGCTTTTGCAATTGGGTTACTGCAAGAAATTTCACTAAAACCACAGTTACTGGATGGTTCAAGGCAGACTGACAATGACATCAACCCCACATAAAGAATGCCTAGGTACAGCCTCTACCTCAGATGGTATCCTGCAACAGCAAACTTGATCCAAGAATCTGTTCTCTGTTCCTGTGAATTCTGGCTTCTTTGCCCCCAGCCCTTTATACCTTCCTGTTTCCTCCCCTACAGTATAAATACCTTAACATCAGTGACCATGTCTTATTCAGTTTTCTGTTTTCACATCTGGCACACAGTAGTGGTTACTAAACATTTGTTGAGTAAACAATGAATGGATAATGCTCCAGGAACCAAAAGTAACCACTCACAGCTCCTGGGGTCACCTGAACCCCTTTTACCTCTAGCAGGGAAGAGAAAACATCGGCGTCCCAACATCGCCAGGCTAGTCCTGAGAGTTCCTCTAACTGAACCGGCTTAGGTTACATGTCTGTTCCTGATCAGTCCTGGAGCCAGAGAAGTGGAGGCAGCTTCTTCAGAACCATGTGGATCGCCCAAAAGAAGCCCAGGGCTGTTGGAAAGAAGGGAAACATGGATGCTGGGGAAGGCACCCAACATGAGTCCCATGTCACTATACTCACAATCTGTTGTTTTGATCACATAAGTTGTCATGGCTTTAAGACACCTCAAAAACAAATTTTTGTTTAGTTAGGCCACATGTTTCCCTTTTGTTACATCATGCATTTATTTTAAGAGATTAAACATTAAGTTGTCTTTAGAGATGACAGTTAAACTGGTCTATAGGTCTTGCAAGCAACACAGGTAAATCATTGACATTTGACTTAAGGGAAAAAATGAGTGCATATTTAAAAGGATAAGTTTTTGGTAAGGTTTATAAAAAATACCCAATATGACAGATTTGAGATAAAAAGAAATCCTCAGCGTTGATGCTATGACAGCTGGAAGTCCATGCCCAACACAGGGTGTGTGACACCTTTTCTGGAAGACCAGCACTGGGTAGAATTCGGAGTCTCTCTGGAGTTACCGTTCCACTTGTTAGCTTCTTAGGACCTTAGATCAACCAGGTGGCCTAAGTTCTCCCACTTGTACATCAAAACTTTTGAAGAAACCCTGAAATTCAACCATCTTTGGGGCCTCTCCAGAAATAAATTTGATTCTAAAGTGGCTTGGTTTGGAAACTCCTCAGCCTGCTGATTTGTGTTAGAGATTAAGGAACTAGACGACCTGAGGCACTTGTGTGGTTCTTTGGTAACTTGGCAAACAGACCCTTGCCCAATCGCTCAAAAAGGCAAGGGCTGTCCCGCCCCCAGTGAAGTCAAGTGAGAGTCATTCAGTCGTGTCTGACTCTTTCTGACCCCATGGACTGTAGTCCATGGGATTCTCCAGGCCAGAATACTGGAGTGGGTAGCCTATCCCTTCTCCAGGGGATCTTCACGGCCCAGGAATCGAACTGGGGTCTCCTGCTTTGCAGGCGGATTCTTTACCACCTGAGCTATGAGGGAAGTCCCTCCCCCAGCCCCACCAAAAAAGAAAAAACCAAACACTGCCTTCTAGGGACCTGTGGAAAGGTAGAACTGATTTCTTGGAAGGTTGACTTGCTAGATAGAAAAATAAGCTCTGCTCCAGCAGTTTTCTCTGGAATAGAATTTGCTGAATTTATGACTTCTTATAGGGTGACATCATATTATTGGTGAGCCCACCAAGCTCCTCTGTCTAAGGGATTTCCCAGGCAAGAATACTGGAGTGGGTTGCCATTTCATTCTCCAGGGGATCTTCCTGATCCACGGATTGAATTCAT